ACAACCAGGGGTTCTTACAACCGGGGATCTTACAACCAGGGGTTCTTACAACCAGAGGTCTTACAACCAAGGGTTCTTCCTGGTTGTAAGAACCCCTGGTTGTAAGACCCCTGGTTGTAAGACCCCTGGTTGTAAGACCCCTGGGTGCCAGAACCCCTGGTTGATAGACCACTGGTTGTAAGAACCTCTGGTTGTAAAAACCCCTGGTTGTAAGACCCCTGGTTGTAAGAACCCTCTTTGTAAGACTCCTGAATGTAAGAACCCCTAGTTGTAAGATCCCTGGTTGTAAGAACCCCCGGTTGTAAGACCCCTGGGTGTAAGAACCCCTGGTTGTAAGACCACTTGTTGTAAGACCACTGGTTGTAAAAACCCCTGGTTGTAAGACCACTGGTTGTAAGATCCCTGGTTGTAAGAACCCCTGGTTGTAAGACCCCTGGTTCTAAGAACCCCTGGTTGTAAGACCCCTGGTTGTAAGACCCCTGGTTCTAAGAAACCCTGGTTGTAAGACCCCTGGTTCTAAGAACCCCTGGTTGTAAGAACCCCTGGTTGTAAGACCCCTGGGCCCAGTTGTTTGAAGGCCGGTTAACGCTTAACCCAGGGTTAAATTTAACCTGCATTTCTTTTCCTTGTCTTCTGAAGGATTTTCAAGGATAATATTCTCTGTTATTTTGAGAGCTTCCGATCATAATCTTGTAGACAAAAAGAATTAAAACTGAAATGCTTTCTAAGTTTTCAAATCTGAATTAAAATCTCGCACTAATCTTGGGTTATCTTAACCCAGCTTTGAACAACTCAGCCCTGGTTGTGAGAACCCCTGGTGTAAGAGCCCTGTTGTAAGACCTCTGGGTGGATGATCCCGTACGAGAGAAAGGAAATAAGAGAATTTTCCTGGATCCAAAAATTTTATATGAATTTAATGTTGACCTTCAACATGTACACTATTTAGGAGATGTAAATTACTAGGGTTAATCTCCTCTGAAACACAGGCTTTTTTAATTACTACTTTTTGATAAGCGGGAAACTACTTGTAGTCTAGGAAGCTGGGGGAGTACCATCTTTAAGCTCTGTAACATAAAGTATGGCTTATCCAAATTTGTTTTTGGTTTGTAAACTACAGATCCTCTTTGAACAAAAACTCTGCAAACACATTCCCTATACGTATTTCCTCAAAGGTGAATGTCACCCCATGACAGTCCACAACTTCGTCTCCTTCGAACCCAGAAAAGGCAGAGAGATCCGGCATATTATGTGCAACAGCAATACAATACTGAACATTTCTCCTCAGGACTAGGAGCTCATCAAATAAAACATCAAAGCCATGATAGATGTGGCCAATATTTCTTTGCACATCCACCTTATAGGACCCAGTTTGGGAAAAAATTAGCGAACCAGTAGTGATTTCATCACCAACAAAAACCTTTACAGTCGCTGATACTCTAGCATATCTGTCACGCTCTTCAAAAAATAGAGAGACTCCATGCAACACTATGTTCTTGTCTACAGTTAAATTGATTGGTTCAAATGTAGCAGGAACATTAGAAGAACTAAAAATATCAACATACTTATGGTATCTGCAACATCGTAAAGGGGGTCCCTTTCTTTGTTTTTCTGAAAATCCATGCAGAAGCGGAAGAGTAGGATCGTCAAATTGTGCGACAACATTGCTGGCTTCTTCCTGCGTTAAAATTTTGGTGACTGGAACAATCTCCATAAACTCTCTCTGTTCCATGAGTGGAAAACGCAGGTTTTTCATTACCTCTTCCCCAAGTATTTCCCTTTTGACAGAGCCTTCTGGTTTCAGATTTAGCCTATTGCATTGATGTTCTGCCCAGCCATCGACAGCCTGAAATAACTCGATCTCCTTAATATTTAATGTGTCCCTTTCCACTAACTCTTGCAGAAGGGACTTCTCAATTCCAAAGAATTCATTTGATTTCACAACGCGCATTGTCAGTTTGTCAACATAGTCCCAACAGAAATTCAACAGGTGATCATTTGAAAATTTCTTAGCGTGTTCCAAGACTCCAAGCACATTCGACGAGTCCAGATTATTCCCTAAAAAGACTGCACATTTTTTGGAAAGTCGAGGAATCATGTATTTTGCCGCAAGATATGCCACTTGCATCACGTTATTTTCGGTTAAGGAAACTTTATCGGTGTACAGGAATCGCAACAATTCAAACATACCGTCATAGTCACAATCAGGCATATTGATTTCTTCTTTGAAGTCTGCCATTTTGCCACAGAACATGGCGAAAAATACAGGGCTTCTGATTGCCAACAAAAACTTGTGAGCTGGGATCGCTATCCTCCTTTTTTTCCGGTCACTGCATTCGCCATATTGGGACGAACGAACAACAAATTTTACATCACTCAAAATATCATTGTTGAACAAAAATTTGCCTCTCTGTTGGAAAGCCTTTGGGAACTTGTCTTTCTCTGTATCCATATCCATCCATGGGTTATCGTCATAGAAATCCAACTTCAATACTGTGCGGAACATGATGTTTGCTCGAATGTTAATCCACGATTAAAGTTAAAGGGCGCTAACACCAATTGTGAGGCGAGCAAAGCGCGGGAAAGTTGATCCGGGATTTTCGCATTCTCGTCCCTCAGCCACTCGGCATTTTTGTAACCAACCACGTGACCAAGAAACGATGGGCTCTGGGGACGAGAAAGGGATTTCGGTTGCCTCGTTCACGCGCAGCTTGTCTCATCACGCAACGCTCCTGCTTTGCGTGACGAGACATACAAGGCGCAAGAGAACAAAAACGTGCGAAAAAATTGGCGCTTTTTCAGGTGCCTCCCTCCCTTCTCGTGGGAACCGTTGTTATTCGTCCCAGGCAGGCTCAGATCCTTAAAGGTACGATAAAACGGACAACAAAAACGTTCAACTTCTTTTGCAACAATACTGCAAAACGAGTTAAAAAGCGATATAGCTCGTTTTTCCACCCACTTTCAATTCTGTCTTGCAACAAATCAGGTTGCTGCAGGTTGCGAAAAGTTGTTGTATCTACTTTCTGCAACATACTCTTTACGCGCGTGTTGCGCGTTTTACCAGCCCAAGGCAAACTTGTTTTGCAGCAAGTGACTAACTCCTGCAGTTAATTTAATCCTAACTCTGTTGTGGTGACTCCCGCGTAATTTTTATCCAATCAGATGTCGGTATTCACGCAACTTGCCGTATAAATTTTTTCTTTGCTGGGAGACAGGTTTGAACGTGGGTAGTAAAGCGCGCAACATCGCTATTCAACTCGTTTTGCAGCTGCTGCAATGTTGCAAAACACGTTGTACGTTTTCGTTCCCCGTGTTAACATACCTTAACAGGCACCCCCTTTTTTAAACTGAAATAATATAAATTGGTTTTGCCAACAAAAATAGTTCATAGTATTGGCAAAACCCTTGTTTACAGGGTTGACATGTTTACAGGGAAGACATGTACGGGCTTAGCGCAAAAGGAGATTGAAGAGTGAAAGGCGCAGCCTTCGGCTTTCTTGGCTAAATTACAGCAGTAAAAGTAACCGCTTTGGGGAAACCCCCTTCGGGTCAGGGTCTAGGTTAAATTTATTAGAATAAAATAATACATGAGGCACACTAAAACACATTTGATTGAGTGCTACCACTGTCTTTTTGTTCCACAGTACTGGCAGTATACTTTATTCTACTGGCAAATGACACTGTTCACTGAGACTTCCATGTGATATAAAATACCATATTTCCTCAAATAAGCCTTCCTTCGATTAATGGCCTCCCTGGAATAATCACCCCTCCCTTTGATCCAGCAAAACTGATCACTGAAGACGCCGACGACATTGACATTAAAATATTAATCAAGGAACCAAATTCGGAACAACTGAAAAGCCCATGTTCAGTTTTTTTGATGTGGTTATTTTTTTATTTAATGGGAAAATACAACTTTAGGGCACAACTGCCAGTGAACAATATCTGAAAATAATTGCCTCCCTTGAATAATCGCCTTACCTTGAATAACCAGCCCCTTTTAGCATGAAAAAAGAGATAATTGTCCCCAGCTATTCATTTGAGGAAATACGGTACAACTGAAAAATTTGCTTCTTAATTATTAAAAACAAGTTCAATATAAATATCCAAGTAAGAGTATTGCAATTTTTCAAAGCATAATCAGTCTAGATATATCTCAAGGAAGCCAAGTTTCTTTTTTCAGGGAAGAAATTTATAAATTACATGGCTTTGATCAGTTTTCTGTGAATTAAAATATCTTCTACCTCTAAGCATATGTAGTAAAGTTGAGGAAAGTGTGAAAACTAGTTCATCTAAACATGACCTGTAGTTTATTCTATAACCAGACTTTCAATGTCTGAGCACTCGAGCTTGAAAGTTGGGCGCGCAACAGGAATCTTGACAAATCGCAAGAAAATTTATTATAGTGTTTGAAAACATTTTGTGGATCATATTGGAACCTCCCCCTCCCCTAAGACTTAGGGCAAAATGTTGGCTTAGGGGAGGGGTGGGTGGGCAGTTTCCTAGAAACGTATTAATAATGGTCCCATTTTTTTAGGAACCAAAAAAAAAAATGCTACATACCTGAAAATAAAAGGAAATGCCTTTAAAGTATAAACTTCTTCCTTTAACTGATACTTGATGTTTTGTAGGATGTGCTGATTTCTCTGACCTTACCGCATAGGATTTGCGTAAACCACATATGCAATGCATTATGCCCTTGTAATAGCTTATCTAATCACATATAGTTCATAATTGCTTCATGTATATAAGCACATTGATTTACCAAATAAATGTAGTAGTAGAGTATATGACTGAGACCACTTGAGGCATTGATCCAGTCTCGAGTTAAGGCAACAATAGCTATTTATCGACTTAGAACTACATGTAACAGGTCACATTTAGATGAGCTAGTAGGGGTCACACTTTCCTCAACTTTACTATACATGGTTAACAGAGTGGAATGGTTATCAGACAATTAGACTCCTTAGGGTGGCTTGACTGGATTTTTTAGGGACTACAACTCCCTACTTTAAGTGTGTTTACCATGTTGGCATTAAAAAATACAATGCAAAAAGGTTACCACAGCTGCACTGTATAAAGATGAAAATTTGTTGATCCATGTTTTATTGACATCACAGTTACCATGGCAACATAATGACGCCATTACGTTTTTTACTTGCCTTTGTATTTCTCGGTAATAGGAGTTTTTTTTCAGAAATCGCTTAGGGAGCTTGTACCTCCTTAGTTGCCTCGATTGTGGCAAAGTTTGAACAAATTCTATGAGAGCGTTTTGGAAATATTCCGAAACAAAGTTTGAAGGGTCATAAAAACAGTGAATAAACATGCTATCAACATAATAAGCTCATATCTAAAGAAAACGGTGAGGTCTGTAAATGCAGTTTCATCTCATAGTGGTTTGATTTCATCTGAAACTTTGTTCGAAAAAAGAGGGGGATGCTTTGGCCAATTGCAAAAAAGAGGAATTTGATTAGGCTAGGTTCGGCTGCTTGCTTTACCATTTTTGTATGTAATTTGGTCCATGCCTATAAATTTCATGGTTATTTAAAAACCGCTCGATAAATTTTTTTAAAAACTCAACAATCCCAAGATTAATTATCAGTTTACATCTCTTCTGTTTCAAGGACATTGAAAACAAGGAAGGTAATTAAATGGGGCTTCAAATGTCACAAATTTTCCCGGCCCAGATTTGTTGTTTACAAGTGAGCCTCCTAATTATTCACTGGCATTGTTTTCATATTTCATATGCACTCGCACAACTTTAATTTGCATTCAAAAGGACCCTGGATTACTTTCCCCAGAATTTCCGAGATATGCTAATGTAGCAGAAGTGGTGAAGAAAATGTCTGTAGCATCACTTTTTCATCATGAGGGATGCAGCAAGCAGGCCGGCATGCCTCTTAATATAAAGAAAACAAAATACAAGGTGTTAGCCGAGCCAGCCCAGTAAAGTGGGCCAGCCTGGCTAACCTCATATACACACGCCCTAAATCTCATTTGCAATGCAGGCTTGCATCGCTGCTACTTTTCAATCAGAGAGAAACTGTTTGTTGTCTACTAAGCTGAGGGAGTATCCTCCTTATGCTCTGACTTGCATTCAATTTTCTCCCTGTTTTGTAGACTATAGATCTTCTGTAAACAAAACCTCTGCCACCACAGTTCCCGTATCCATAAAGGAGAATGTCACCCCATGACAGTCCACAACATTCCAATCTCCATAATCATAAAAGAAAGAGATAGAGGGCATATCATGTGAAACAGCAATACAATACTCAACATTTCTCCTCAGGACCAGGAGTTTATCAAATAAAACATCAAAGCCGTGATAGATGCGATCAATATTTGTTTGAACATCCACCTCGTAGGTCCCAGTTTGGGAATAAAACAGTGAGTCACCTCTCATTTCACCACCAACATAAACCTTCACAGTGGCTGATACTTTAGCATACATGTCACACTCACACTCTTCAAAAAATAAAGAGACTCCATGCAACAATACGTTCTTGTCTACAGTTAAAGTGATTTGTTCAAATGTGGCAGGTTTATTGCAACAAATCGTAACGTTAACACCTTTATGATATCTGCAACATCGCATAGGGGGTCCCACTCTTTCTGTTTTTGAAAATCCATGCAGAGGCAGCACATTAGGATCGTCAAATTGTGCGACAACGTTGCTTGCTTCATCCTGTGTTAATATTTTGGTGACTGTGACAATCTCCATAAACTCTCTCTGTTCCATGAGTGGAAAACGCAATTTTTTTATTACCTCTTCCCCAAGTATTTCCCTCTTGACAGAGCCTTCTGATTTCAGATTTAGCCTCTTACATTCTTGTTCTGCCCAGCCATCGACAGCTTGAAATAACTCCACCTCCTTAATATTCAACGTGTCCCTTTCCACTAACTCTTGCAGAAGAGACTTTTCAATTCCAAAGAATTCATTCGATTTCACCACGCGCATTGTCAGTTGCTCAACATAGTCCCAACAAAAATTCAACAGATGTTTGTTTGAAAATTTCTGAGCGTGTTTTAAGACTCCAAGCACATTCGATGAGTCCAGATTATTCCCTAAAAAGACTGCACATTTTTTGGACAGACGGGGAACCATGTATTTCGCGGCAAGATATGCCACTTGCATCACGTTGTTTTCGGTCAAGCAAACTTTATCCGTGTACAGGAATCGCAACAATTCAATCATACCGTCATAGTCACAGTCAGGCAGATTGATTTCTTCTTCGGTTTCAGCCATTTTGCCACAGAACATGGCAAAAAATACAGGGCTTCTGATTGCCAACAAAAACTTGTGAGCTGGGATCGCCATCTTGCTTTTTTTCCGGTCACTGCATTCGCCATGTTGGGATGAACGAACAACAAATTTTACATCGCTCAAGATATCATTGTTGAACAAAAATTTGCTTCTCTCTTGGAAAGCCTCAGGGAACTTATCCTCCTCTGTATCGATCCACGGGGTATCTTCATCCAATAACGTTAACATGATTTTTGTTCTCAAGATTATAAAAAGTTCAATCGAGGATACCTAACCAAACAACCATTTTCAAGCGGGCGAAAGCGCGGGAAAGTTGATCCGGGATTCTCTCGTAGCAGTTTTGGTCTCGTCACGCAACGCTCCTTTGCGTGACGAGACCAAAACACTCAGCTGAGCTGGCTCATATAGGAACTCTAGCTTATTCGAAGGAACTCCTAAAACTCATTTGAAAAGCAGGTAAATTGCACCTTTTTTTCTTCTTCGACACGATGCTTTATGCTCGTGCGAATCACTTCTTAAAGAGGTCGTTTATTAGATACACACATGGATGCGACATGGATTCAAATTATTTTGTAATACAAAACTGCACAGCAATAGACCTTCTAGCTTCAGAATGTTTTGTTTTTCCCAGTGAAGGTCCGAGGGGAATTTGCCACTTTATATTGCCATAAATTATGCGTACACATGTGTTTCTTGTACTGCTGTTGTTGACAAGTGCTGCTTCAGGCAGTAAAACACAACTCAGCTAGGTCTGTCAAGTATATACAGTCAGAACTAGAACAAAAAAACATGGCGGGTCCTACACACATGTCCTATATGGTCCTATATAGGTTCCAGGCCCTTATGGTTTCAACCGACTCGCGGGCTCATAACAATATAATATCAACAGCTGTGTTATGTAAAATCATGGAACATATCTGAGAGATAAGTGGGTAAGCCAGTCTCCAAAAAAATTTTGAAAAACTTTTTTTTGGCCCTTCGGGCCCCAGTTTGGTCTAAAAATAAGAGGAGGGGCTGCCCCCCCCCCCGGCCCCTCCCCTGGATCCGCCACTGTAAACATGATTATGATTATAACACCAGCGTGTCCAAATTGAAGAAATCTCTATCTTTGGAATTTCTAAGTGAGAGACGAAAATCCCATCACCTACAAATTTTCCATAAAAAAGTGTGCGATGATATTGCTTTGCCTGTTGTGCCTTGTTATAAATTGTCATTAGGGAAACAAGAAATTACTTGATGAACTCATTTATCCATCTATCTGTACATCATGATTACTATAAGTATAGTTTCTTTCCAAGAACTATAAGGGACTGGAACTGTTTATTACTTGAAACCAGAGCACTTAATTATTCAGCCTTTTGGAGAGCAAGATTATTTTAAGTTTTGTTTTAAGTATAGCAATTTCTTAATTATATATTATATATCTAATTTTTATTTATATTTATATCTGTATTTCTTAACTCTTCTTAATGTGTAAAACTTTGAAGAGTAATAGAGTAGATGTAGATGTAGATGTAGACATGCATAGGAATATGACAAAAGTTGAATGAAACGTACAGTTCTCTATCTATACTACAGAATTATCACATGACCTACATTGGGAAAACAAAAGATACAAGCTAAAGAGGTCTATTTCAAACACCAGAAGCATATAACCTCCCCTCTAACTTCCCCTATCTGTGTAGAATCATGCTGGGATTATAGTTGTCCAATCAGAAGCATGGAAATTTTTTTGCCCAAGTGTGGAATCAGAGAATTGAAGGCATCCCCTTTTAAAAAGTAGCCGTGTTAAATAACGAATTCCACAACTCAAAAGTAAATGTTGAGCCATTTACATTTGTTGAACAACCTATCAAAAGACAAAAAAACTTCTATTTTCACAGGTAGTGGAGCCGACAAGTGTGTTGTCATAATTTGAATGCACTAAGCTGCACTATGGTGAGTACAAAATTAATAGCTTTCTCTTAATTTCTTTCTACCCTCTTAGAACTCCCTCTTCTTCCATCTCCTGTTACCCACCCTCCGCTACCCTGCTGAGGAAACATGTTGAATTGAATACCCCATTCTTAAAAGTAGTCGTCAAGGAAATAAAATGTGAACAGATGGCATTTAGAGGCTCTAATTAGGAGATTGTAGACTACTGGTAGCCGGGTTTTATTGAAACCCCTGCTTATTTTTTAGCAAAAGCGTACTTGTTCACACCTCGTCCTCATATCCTGAAATGTAAATTAAAATGTATCTATGAGAAGAAACATTTTGTTTCCTCCAAGGTTTCTTTAAGTTCTGGTATAAAAATCTTTCCATTCTATTGCAATTTTTTACTACCCTCTTCATCAGGCACAGTTGTAAGAGAAGCTGTATTTGTGACATCTGACAGCCAATCTGCACAATTTGTATTATTGTCCCCAGAGGCTGTTGTAGTAGCTGTTGTACATCCTTTAATTGTTTATTTACCGGTATTTATTTTATTATTTTGCCACATTTAAATTAAATATATACATAAAATTTCGTTGGATGAAGCAAAGGAGCCCATGGAAGCCAATAAGACTTATGAAAAGGGCTATCTTTAAAAATATATGACTAAATTATGAGTTAATAATTTGCATCAGCAAGACAATCTAACTAAACACATACAATTTCTTTATAACATAGAAAATAGTCATAAATAGGACAAAAATAGATAAGGCTAAATGGCAAATGTAAAAATGAAAAAGGAAAAGTGAGAAAAAATGCAAAGAAAAGTCTCTATAGTTCCAATAGGGCTGGAGAGGCTTGGAGTGTTGACTTTGTCTGTTGGCCAATGCTGGCCAACCACTAACTATGACCAAAGCCCTGCTGGGGGAAAGTTTGGTCAGCAGAGTTTGGTTTGCTGTCTTTTATGAAGTCCAGTTTATGTACTGTGTCTGCTGTAATTGTTAATGAGCAGCTGCAGATGGGAGAAACGTTGGGCATGGTATTACATGTGTATTTAACGATAGACCTTTGCAATTGTCAAACTGAAATATCACTGCAATGGGCAAAGAGTATGCTAACCATTCACAACATAAATTATATAAATCATTTCAGTCCCTATTGCTCTATTGCATAAGCCAACTTTTTACCTTAAATTCAGTGTTAGCATAAACTAAAGCATTTCTAGCCAAAAAGGCAGTTTCGGTTAGATCATTCATTTTATCAGCTTCTCTAGAGCGTTTTCACATGACGTCACGGCGGCCATATTGGTGTTCCAAAACAATGAAACGGCAGCCATGTTGGTGTACCAAGAAAATTCTCCGGGAGTTTAACTCTTTTCTTATGTAAATGCCGTTCTTTTGTTCCAATAAATTAGCATAGATTCTGGCCACGTGAGGGAAAACGCTCTATAGTTTGAGGAGTGTTGAGCTTGTAAACGTGCTATAGTTTTTTTTTTAACTGAACTGGCTGGCCATGAAGCAAAACCCAAGTTTTCTGGCAGCAAAGCCTCTAGATAGGCCCGCTCGTTTTTAAGCAATTGAAGGAAAGTCGTCCACTAAAAGAATGCGTTTTGCCTCAGGGAGTGGTCAGCTAGGCCATTCTTATGTTCATACATGACTTTATTTATGGCCAGAAAAATTTCTCTTCTCTCAAGTTTGAGAATTGGCCATTTACAGAGCCTAACAGGCAAATTGGTTACTCCAAAAATTGTTCTGATATCCTCAAGGGGAACGTCATTGTTAGACGTCATTGCGTCGTGCAAAAAATGGGGGCGGGGAGGGATGGGGTGCTGTTGTGTCCAGTAACATGGCACAATTCACAGAAGCTTGTTCTTTGTCTCGCTCCTGTATATAGATAGAGATATCAGATTAAGGAAAGAGTTTCCTTATGTTGGACAAAAAAGAATTAATCCACAGATGAAGTGGAATAGATGCAATCTCGAGGACCAGGAGGCTCTGGGGACACAGGATTGATATCCTAGATTTTAGGGCTTCCGGTCATTTCTGATTTTCTACAACGTTTCTAATAGCGTTCACTTGCTCTTGCCGAAGTGTCAATGACTTTAAATAGGTGATTCAAAGCTTTTAAAAGAGAATCCTCCAACTTACTTTTAAATCGGAATTGACCGGAAGTCCTAAGGACTTCAGTCCTGAGTTCCCAGAGCCTCTTCGTCCTCGTGCTCAGGCCCCAAGGAGGCTCTGGGGACGAGAATGGAATAGATGTGGAGAATATCACTCTTACATGTAAAATAACCTCCAATGGAAGTTTTGTTTTCGTTTGTTTCTCTGGGGACGAGAATGGAATAGATGTGGAGAATATCACTCTTACATGTAAAATAACCTCCAATGGAAGTTTTGTTTTCGTTTGTTTGTAAAAAGAAGACTGAGTAAAAACCGCTTTCGGTTCCCACGATGGGTGTTTAGAATCTGGGTCATATAGATTGCCGCCTGTTGGTGGCACATTTTTCCCGTTTGCCTGATTATTATAGACCTTCTCCATTTTGGGGTTCAGAAACCTAATTGGTAGATCATTGGCCTGAGTCAGTGGCTTAAAATCCGTAATGGTGCCCTCTTGTCGGTCGGACGCGAGGTCCTCATTCGAGTAAGCCCGCATAGAATTAAAGTGCTTCTGCTTCCACGCTCACATTTGATGGGAAAGCTTGGAGGGTTTGTTGCCAGAAATTATCCATTGACGAAAGTCGTCCATTCTTGGACTTTATGCCCCCCTGAACCTCTTGTAAGGTTTTCAAAATAGATGGCAGGACACCTGTTCTTCGTTCAGGACACCATAACAATAAGTATTTTCTATTAATTTCAATACTAATCAGTAAACTGGCAATACGTATCATCTCTTTATTGATCTGAAAACAATGTATTTTAAGTACGGATTTCCTGCATTTCTCATTGAAAAATTATTTCAAGCATGAGTGAAGTGTTGCTACTTGAAATCGTGAAATAAAGGGAAGAACTGTCACACATCGCGTTGTGATAGTCGCGTGATTTATTGCCATTAGATGTAAGCTATGTTTCAGTGCAAAATCTCCAAATGCTGAAGAAGTCCGTGATGACTTGATGTAAGGAAAACCGGAAATAGATCATGGTATGATGAATGCCAATTTTGAGAACAAACTTTTTTTAATGGAAGCTCAGACTGTAGGCATCGTTCTATGTTGATCGTATTCCGCAAGAATGTAGATTTGTCAAAAAAACTCCCTTTCATCGTGATGTTAGAGCCAATTCATCCGCATGTTGGTTTGTCAGGGCTGCAATCTCTCCTCCGCAAAAAAAAAAAAAAAAAAAAAGCGCGCGGCCCCTGCGGAGGGGAGAGAGGGCCGAAAGTTTTTGTTTACAAAAAGGGGGTGTGTAGAGAAAAAGAAAAGAAAAAGTGGGTTTTTGTTTTTTTTGTTGAGGTTTTTTTTTACCACCTTTTTCTCGCTTGCTTATGTG